GGGGGGGGGGATGATACTTTACCTCGAGTTTTAGTAATCCGAGTGGTGAGATTAAACGAGAATGAGCCGGTTAGCTTCATGTAACCCCGTTCAGACTCTCATCTGGACGGCGTAAGAAACACGGGATTCCTTTTACACGTTGTACAAACTCTCACCCACGATGTTTCAACTGATAATGAAAAAAAAAATTGTAACTCGATTGATTTACCACGCTTATCTGTCGCAGTAGTTTGACGGATGGAAGCAACAACACAGTGTTTATTGGAGAATATTATTGTCATTGATGATCACTCACACATCATTCGGAGTAGAGAGTACACAACAGCACTGATACATTTTAACATTTTTATTATTGGTTTATAAACTCGCATTTTCGCACGCTTTCGTCTTGCTTGTTCCCGGCATCTTATTCACTGGACTCGCGAAGTGCGACCGTGTGTGGAGCGTCGGGAAATTAGGGGAGGGTTAGGGATTGAGGTGATGCGTGATAGGACTAGGACAGATATTGTTCAAGGGGAGGAGGATATCACGAGTGATGGACTTTTGTTTCACTGGATTTTTTTGGGGGATGGACCAAATAATACGCGCCACCTCTGCGAAAAAATCAACGAGAGTGATTCAACATGGCGGAGGGACCGCCACACTCGGTCAAATTCACTCTATCTCACTCACTCGACACTTGCCCCCACCAATGATGCTCGCCGCCGGCCAATCATCCGGGTTTGATCCGATTGTTACTCCGGTTTTTTAATTTTTCCTTTTGTTTTTATTTTTTATTTCAAGAGATTCGGGGCTTCGGGGAACTTTCGCTTCACTGATTGGGTGCTTCTGTGGGGAGTTTTTGAGCTGATAGTGGACAATGTTTATCGGGGGTTGTGGGTCGAGACACGCGCGTGGTGTACAACTACTTTGCGCCCTCGAACGACCCCCCTCACGTTGGTGAACAACGGAAGGAGACCGGAAGAAGTGAGGGATAATGAGTGAGAACAGTGCATTCTGGTGGAATGTTGGAGGGAGTGGTAAGTTATCGATAGGACTGTTGATAAAGGAGATTTTGCAGGCTGAAATTTGAATTGAATTCGACAAGAAAAAATTGATTAATTTTATGTATTTTTTCGTAGGGGAGGATGGCGTAAAATGGACACTCAAAGACTTTACAAAAAAATTTTTTTTTCAAAATTCAAAGTTTTTCAAATTGTTTCATTGGACAATCTGGACACCTGATAAATGGATATATGATACGCTGAAAGGAACGCTCAAAAGATTTTCAACAATTTTTCAATAATCGAATTTTTAAAAATTGCTGCTTGGCAAAGTCCACAACCGTAAAATTATTCAAGAGTGAGGTCAAATGGACGCCCGAAAAAGTTGATCCTATTCAAGAAGTCAAAAAAAATTTCAACCGGCATTTTTCAACAGAATCGTGTGGGTATTTTTTTATAGAGAGAAATTAGAGTTCGAAGAGATATTAAGGTACTTCTTCAGTGAGTTATACTTGGTGAAAATTTAGCAATGCACTGAAGACCTAAAATTTGGAGCATATGTTGTTGAGCACATGTGAAAACGATTCCCAAAATTTCAAGTATTTTTCCCACGCGAATTTTTGAGATATGCATCGACAAAAGCTTAAAAAAGACAAAAATTCAATGTTTGACGATGGATATCTTAAAAATTCGTGTGGAAACAAATACTTGAAATTTTGGGAATCCTTTTTAAATGTCCTCAACAACATATGATCCAAATTTTAGCTCTTCAGTTCATTGCGAACTGAAGTTCTTGCAACTCCTACGACGCAGTCTTATGACAATGTTCTTGTTTTAATAATCTTTAAATGAAGTCGGAACAGTAGATTTGATCCTATTCACCTTATTATATAAATCCGGTCTCCATATTGCCCCATCCTCCCCCATTTTTATCATCCCTTATATAGTGTAAAAATAGTGATAATAACGAGAAATTGAAAGCGATTTTTAAAAGAACGACATATTTTAACATTGTCACATCATTTCCTCGACAAAATGACCTTTTGTCTATGCACATTGAAGTCCCTTCATATTTTGATAGATTTGATGTTTTGTATTAAAGTAGTGTGAATAAACTTCAGTTGAGCCGTTGAGTGTAAGAAAGAAAAATCAATTCAAAAAGCCTAAAAAAAATTATTCATCATTGATCATTTTTCCCGCAAATTTTAACTTTGATGAGTGTAAGAAAATGATCTATCTATTTCTTTCTTCAATTAGTTTTTTAAACAACTATCTCCCGTTTGACTAAGGTATTGCGACATAACACGTTATTTCGATACGCAGAAACCATAAATTCTTTATTACAAAAGTTTGACACTGACAACAATTTTCATATTAGACATACAAATTTTATTTATTTTTCTGTTTTTCGAGATTTTTGTTAGATTCTTCTCTGAATGAATAATTTTGTGTTCAAGTATGCCTTGGGAACAAAGCAATCTTTTATTTCTTCGAAACTGAATCAATGTAATGGTTTATAGAATTAATTTACTGTATTTAGGAAAAGACAAATGCAGGATCCGGAATAAAAAAGATGTTGCAGAGTTGCATGTTTCTTTATTTTCACAATTGTTTAAAATGATTGAATACAGTAGACATCATTGGGTAACAATTTAATTGGTACGTACGAGATAGGAACGTGAAATACAATTTTTTTTCTTCATATTCCAGCTGGTTGGACATTAATTCATGAAAGAATGTTCAAGTCAATAGCGTGGCACTCCCCATAAATGTCAATAAAATTGTTACGAAATTATTTTTCATTCCCTTTTTTTGAATACTTGAGACACAGTTACTTGAACAATTTAACAACAAACAGCGATAATATTCATTCATAATCTGTTGAAAATTTTGGGTTCTTCAGTTGACTTTATATGGTGTTTACTCAAAATTCCGATTGATTAAACTTGGCCAAGGTCAAACGTCAATATTTCTTTTAAAAAAATTGAAACTATACATGATACTGTAAATTTAATTGTGAATACAGCAGCGCGGAACAATCTTCCTATTTTTTTATTCAATTGTTGCTTTTTGCAATTTGTTTTTTCAAAGTCAGAGTGTTGATGCACTCCAGTCCCTTATTATATTTCAATGACTTTTCCATGTAAAACAATTCAAAAGAAAGTTATTCCTTGCGATTGTGCGGGCACAAACACCCCAATCCGCCTGCAGATCGTAGTTCTCCATAAACATCAGTTTTCATCTATTTCCCCTTAATAACCCCTAGGTTAACTATACCGCAATTAATGCGAAAATAAACTATCAAAGAAACGCTTCCGACTCACGTCCATAAAATCGAAATGGGGTTTTATGTTAGAAAACAATAGCGAAGCTGTGGAAGGAGATAAGTCTAAAACAGATTTGCTGATCGATTTGCTAACCGATTTCCGACGGACAATGTATTTTTAATTTTGCTGCAAATCCATCAGTATTTAAAATATTTGCAAAATAATCTGCACGAAATTTTTGACAAAATCTCCTTTTATTCTTCCTTCCTTTTCTTCATAAAAAAACAAAATCAATTTGAAAACACAGTTAAAAAAAAACATTTTGTTCTTTCCATCTACTCCACAATTTAATGAATATCGGAATTGAATGCGCTTCAGTTACCTCTAAACATATTTTTCTTGCTCTAACAATTACGACGACTAATTTTCCTACTTTCATGAATATTCCTCCAAACGTGACCGCAAACACGAGAAAATAACAATTTTCCCATTTGGTAAAAAAATGAATTCTAGGTGGGAAGAGATTGGAGTGTGCGTAAGATCATGAAAACATATTTCTTACTGGAGAAAAATCATTATTTCCTCGATTATAATCACTCCCATCCCCGAACGCGGTTCACTCTCGTCTCTCGCGTTATGGAATGATAAAAAAGCAAAATCCTCAATATATTTTGGCGATTGTAAACCACTTCTCCAGGTATTAGAAGGTATTTTCGTTTTAATAATAGTGGGAAACAGAAACGATTAAAATTTTCGTAACACGATTTTTTTTTTATCTATTTTACATCGCATGTGCCTTTTACATCAACTCTTGGCTCTCACAACAATCGATTTTACATTTCTCGTAGCATTAGGAACTTTTAATACTGTTGGTAAATGTCATATTGATCCTCAAGAACGAGTTAGGTTGGAATGAATGTTTAATTCCCAGTATTTGGTTCTCAGTTATTCGTTTAATTTCTTTTTGGAATGACAAAGTTTTTTTTCTTCTCGTTCCTACAAAAATTTCAGTTCCTACATCACACACATACTATTTCGTTCGGGAAATGTTAAAACGTTTTGAGCACGTCTTTTTCGAAGTTGTATCATTCATTTTGTTCTTAGAACTTTTCTCTGCTACAAAACATATTGCTGTTCCTCATATTTCCAACTCTCTACTGTAGAAATTTTCCTGACTAATTATTTATTCTCCTCTGAAAATGTCAGTTGTAGGAAGCAATGTCAAAACTGTTCTTTTAGCCCACAAAAGTTCCAATAACAAGTGTTTTATCACATTTTCCGTTGAAAAATGACTCGGTACCGAAATAACTCCATGTTCAGAATGGATTTGCTCTGTTCAACTACGTTTTATCACTTCACTTCACATTTGATTTTAGAAATTTCATCTCACACAGATATAACGGTAGATACTTATGAATTATGAGCGAGATGAATCGCTAGAACAACACATTGTTCAGGATAAAAACATAAAGTAATAAAATTGTTTGTTTTTCCCCCTAGCGATCCTCCACATTTGACGATTTAAACTGGTGCAATGCACAGGATTTAAACAGCCTTCTCTTTCTCTCTCTAATGCGCGTTCTTTCATTCTATAGTTTTTTTTTCGATTTTTTAGTTTCTGTCGTACATCTCTCTAAGATTTTTGTTCCATTAAAATATCACCAGTGGAATTTTGACAGTTTAATTTGATTGAATAATTTCAATTTATCTTTCGTTTCTTGTTGAGTCTTTTTATTTTCAAGTTCGGTGAAAATATTTTTGACAAAATTCACTGGTGATGAGTTAACGCATGTTTATCACAGATGTTTAAATAAATCGCCCCTTTGTCAATATTTTTAAGCTCACTCGATCTTAGCGCGTGATGGAATCACCATTACTGTGCTCCTTTGTACGTAGTTGAGTTTGCCCCCATATTTTATTACATTGTTAGAGGTTTTTGAATTATAAATTATTATTTTAAAATATAATAATCAACGAAATATGGAAATTTTCATCCACTGACGTTTATAAAAGTAAATGAGAATTTGGATTTTTATCTTTTGGTTTCATAGCTTAAATTGAGTTTAATGTATTCATCAAATTAATCGATAGTTTAGAAGAAAGTATGAAAAAATGTTCAAAAAATTCCAACAATGCATGGTTCTACGTTGTTATAATGTTCATCACAGATATTAACACCTGGGGCTTTTCCTCCCAGGGCCCACACTAGCCTCCTCGTCACTAAGGCCTGCCTTAGTAAAAAAATATACGATCGGCTCTTAAAAAATAGATCTTAACACATTTTTTTTCTGTTTCTTTAATCTCGCTAACACCGCTCTCGTTTGATATTATTTTACAAGTTAGTTTTGATTCCTGGCAGGCGAATCTTAATGATCTTAATGTTATGTAATTCTGGGGGATTTTTTGTTTTATCTTTAGTTAACTTTAAATCTTTAACTTTGATCCTCGAGTGAGCTCAGGGCATTTTCAGATCTACGCTATTCCACGTGTGTCGTCTCTCAACTAATGACACACATTCATGATATTTTTGCAGAATAACAAAAAATTGGAACAACAACAAAAATAACGGTTTTGTGTATTTGTTGACTCAAACCCATTGGGAGTTTTTCTCCTTCATCTTACAAATAGCTTGAATATAAGAAGGTGTATAGAGTGACGCCAAAAGACCTTTTCAGTACAGAGAAAATGAGAGTTTAATTGGCTACAAGGGAGATTTTCTGGCATTTTTATCTAAGCCCACTAATTTCAATGATATTCACAAAACGATTCGTACGGAAATTTTCACAGCATCTCCCTTGACCTTCGGAACTGATTCGAGTAAGAATAAAATGATTTATAACTGTCAAGAGCAAGAAATCACGAATGTGTGTCCACGTGACACCAATCCAGCTTCTAGATTGCGTATCGCGTTTGGCAAGCTCAGTCTTATGGGTCGTATTTGTAACGTTTTCTTAATTCATTGCTACAAGCTTCTCTTAATTGCTTTTTTATCTATTCTTGCATTGTGCCCATGCTGGTTGGTGGCACATAAACCCCTCAATTGTTACTTCATCTATCTTTGTACAAGAGGTCTCGCATAATCCTCCGAGAGACGACAATCACGGATATCACTTTTGTATTTTAAATATTTTGTTTTTCGACTATTACGCACGGATATTACGGCACACATTTGCACATTGCCTCACGAAGATTTTTTTTTTATTCTCGTTTATGAGTTCATTTTGTCACAGTATCTTCTACCATTATTGTTGATATTTAAAAAGAAAACATCTCAGTTGTGGAAAGAGATGATTCCAAAATAGATCGGAAGATTATTTTGCGAATATCTTCGAAAGGGGGCAATTCAGGGAAAAACACAAGGTCTTCTGACATTTCCTTTCAAACCCACTAATCCCAGAGATATTTACAAAATAATCAGTGTGAAATTTTTGGATTGTCCCATTTTCTATCCTTTACTACTTCACTATGAGTCTGAAGTTTAATTTCCTTTTTCCCTTCATTCTAATGAAATAAACTTTAATACGAAAGATCATTGGCGCTTATGTTTCTTAAATCTCTCTCACGTCTCGCATTTTTCTCTCAAATTTTCTCATTGATCTACAAACTAGTTCTTTGAGTTAACTCATAAAACGGGCACGGATATTCTTGTTTTATTTATTCTCGTTTATCCCTCATCTTCACACTCTCTCGATATTTTTTGGTCGAATGATTTTCACTCGACTCAGGTACATGTTAAGGCCCGTTCTAACGTTTGTTTCTCATCGTCAATATTTTCCTTCGTATCCCTTCACAAATGAATTTAATCCCACCTTTTTTCACTATCTCATTGATCTTTGCATATTAAAAAGCACACACACATACATGTTTATCCCCCTTTATTCTTCACGCACCATACCCTCGAACACAAATAAAAGATTACTATATAAAAAGAGAGGAGATTTAACGAAATAAAATTGCCAGAAAAATAGTTTTAAATAATAGAAAAAATAAAGGAGGTACAAAGATTTTTGCCTTTTTCGTCTGTCCCTGTGACTGGCAACTGTTCCTCAGGCACGCTACAACTAATACCAATAATTCAAATCTGTGGTAAAAAGTGATCAGAGGAGATAAAACTAAGATACAAAGAAAACGACAACATTGTTTTCCGACTTTTTCGTTGGAAATTTTGTGGATCACAGGAAAGGTTTTGTAACACTTCTCTCGAGTCCATTTAGTTTGCAAAACCCTTGTGGGCTTGCACTTTCAAAATTTCAATAAACTAATAACTAATAAATCCTATGAAAAGAATATTTACCTTTCGTAAATTTTATAAATTTGAGTCCAAAAGAATTTCATATGTTATTTTCCAATTACCTCAAGAAAGGAGTGGTTTGTTGAGGAATTTCACGTATTTTTTTTGTAGTCCACAAAATTCCGACGAAAAAGCTTTTTAGACATTTTTAGATAAGTCTGTTCGTCAAGATACACCTGAAAATAATTTTTATATCTATCTCCTTTCACCTTCAATCACCACTGAATTGTCTCAGTTCTCATAGAAATATAGTGGTTTCATAACTTCATCCTTGTTGAATACTCAAAACCCGTTGAAAAAGAATTTCTCATGCGTGTGCGCTGAATAATAAACCACTTATGACTGACTTAATCCAACTAGCAAACTAATTCCCTAGTTCTTTTTGAAACAGATGTACACTTGAAAATGGCGATAAACTCAGTAGTCAAATACGAGTAGAGTTCTCCCTCATTTTTTATATTCTTGACAAAAAAAATTACTCCAATAACTTTCCAATAATTAATTAATTAATTAACTTCTCTTTTTGTTTTTAAATCGTGTGCGCCCGATTGGTTGTCGTATTAAAAATAACCTCGGTGTCGCCTTTGTCATTGTGGTCACGATCTACGTGACTCTAAAAATGTATCTCTGCATGCCTCTACTTGGTTTAGGCTTTCATTACATTTTTATTCTCATTATGTTGATTAAACTAATGTTTCGAGGTTGGAAATGTGTTGTCATCATTTCTTTTAAATCTTCTCATTTACCTAAGCTCTGGAATCATCATCCTCTCGTCTTGAATCTTTCCTGGAAGATCATGATGTATTCTCAACGAATCTTTCCTGCTCTTGTTAATTATCTTCAGTCTCACAAAATTTTCGCACGTTCGCATTGATTTAATTTAATTAAACATCGACCCTGATTGGTCTTGGTCATTCTGGATTCTAATCCATTCGTCATTTCTTCACATCCCCACGATTTCTACAAACGATTATTATCTTCTATCAACTTCTCCTTCATTTCATCTGAGATATCACAAATCAAACCATCCTTAAATGCATCTTATTAGAAGGAGTTCTTTTGATTGATTCATTCATTAACGATGGTTTAATGGATGCTGGGTCTTATCTGCTCTACTCTGTTTTAATCAAACAAATATCGAAGTTATTTAGCATCGCCTAGGACCAGAGGCATGATAACATCCCTGCTGTCCCCAGAAAGTGCATCAATCAGCACAGGAGTTAGCTCATCATCAGTGATGGGTTTCCAATTACCTCCAAGGATTTTACTGATCTCACTCTTCGTCTTCTCGAACTCGAACTCATCCTCACTGAGGATATTGCTCTCTGCAAATTCGAATCGCTGGAGCACATCTCCTCTCAATCTCGCAATAGCCACCAGGTTCTCCTGGTAATACTTGTGGCCAATGTAGACCATTTCGACGAGGTTTGCACACCTCCAGGCAATGAGAACGAGGGCATCAGTACGATCAGCAATTGAATGATTGTATGTGGGAGGTTGCGCCTCGTCGTCGTCCATTGAGTCAATCCACACAAGAGATTTCAGACTTGAGGAATACCAGGAGGAGAGATTGAAGAGGGCTCTGAGGTTCACAGACTCGCAGAAGAGAGCTTTGAGGTGAGTCAAGGGCATCGCAGGCCGAAGGATCTCTGAATCGAGGACTGTGACGCCAATGTAAGCGTGGAGGAGGTTGAGCCGAAGACCACAGCGTTTATTATTGTGGACAAAGCGCTGCCAGGAGACGTTGGAGGTGCTTGGCTGATCGTTTCGCCAGTTGTGGACGTGCACCACTAGTCTCTCTAGCGTGCCAGACGTCAGAGATTCCAGAAGAGTGTCGCTCAGGTGCTCGTAGTCTAGGGTGAGCACTACCAGGCTCTCGAACTGGCGGAAGATTATTGGATGCAGGGAGACGAACTCGTAGTTCTCCGGGTCCTCCTTCACCGAGGCCAGTCCAAGGTGTGTCAATTGCTTTCCATGGTGGAGGACCAGGGTGTCGATGAGCTCTTCTGAACGAACTGAGAGGTCTTCGTTGCAGCCCAGGGTCAGCACTTTGAGTTGTTTTGTAGTGGTGATTATCTTCAGGAGGGATTTGTAGATTCTGTCGGTCCAGATGCAGGAGTCGTTGAGATTGGTTGCCCACTCGAAGCTTGAGGATGTGGGTTCGATGATGAGTTTCTTCAGGTTACGGTTGTCTCGCAAATTGCGCAGGAGGGACTCGAGTTCTGGACTCCAGTGCGGGGTTTGACATCTGATGGTTGCGTTTTGGACGCTCAGGGCGAAACACTCTGCCAAGTGTCTGGAAGGTTTGTTTCAGAGTGAATGGGAAGTTGAGAAATTTTAGTTTTGGATTTTGATACAGGTCACTGAAGATATCCAGGAGAGTAGAGGACTTTGGGCCCGGTTCCCAGAGAATTTCTCTGAGAGAAAATTTGCGGAATATACTGAAGGGAAAAACCATGTTCTCATACAAGTCCTGTTTGAACCAACCTAATCGCCAAGGTAGAAATTGTTTCATTTGAAACTACAAAAGTTTCCAACTTCTACAACACAACATTTGACTCAAGAGGCGAATCGTGATCTCTCATAAAGTGATGTTTATCAACAAATATTTTATTTTTTCAAGATTACATTCTTTATCTTTGGGAATTTGATAGTCGAAACGGAAAACTACTCTCCCTTGTTTCGTACAAAACAAATATTTTTCGGAAGCAAGGGTAAACAGGTTAATTTCTGGACGGGGTTTTTTATTTTTTTATGTTATTGGTTGGACGGGGGTTACACGCATGAAAAAATTCGATAGAAAACCTAACGAATTCGCTAGAAAATTCTATTGGAATTTCTACTGGAATTCTATGAAAAAATTCTACTTATTTGCGCTGATTCTATTGGATATTCGAAGAGAAAAAGTCAATAGATTTCGAATTCCTGTTTGAATTTTTCTCTTAAGATTTTTTCTATAATAATATAAGTTTTGTCGACTGGGATTCTGTAAGGCAAAACAAAACAAGATCTAGCGGGAAAAAACAAACAGAATTTTTCAATAGAATTCCAATAGAAATCCTATAGAAACCCCATAGAATTCCTATGAAATTCCACTAGAATTTTCTAGTGATTTCGCTAGGTTTTCTATTGAATTTTTTCATCCGTGTAGTTTCTAGAAGATTTCAACTTGCATTGCATATTCCATAAATAAAATGAAAACTGTACTGATTATTTCATCTTTCAATAATATTACTCGGGTATAATCATGTGATCAATTATTTTGTCTGTTGATCGACATTTAAGAAATAAAAAAAATATGGCCCAGTCGTCCATAAATTAGGGGTTTCAGCTGTATTCAACTATTTCTCTATTTAATTATTTTTTGTTTTATTATTTCCACTTCAACTAATTTTTTTCTGTTAATTACATTCTTGAAGGTATGGAAGTCATCATATCCCCATTTAGGTGATTCTTTTATTTTAGAGTCTACCGCGAAACTCGAATTTCCCTTCACCATCCAGCAATTGGTCTGTTCACCCAACTTTCGTATGTTGGTATAGAATGACTCGTTTTGTTATCGATTCGTTGTTAGTATAGGATGACGACTAGGTAGTGCTCGAAATGAGATTTGTTTGCTGCCACAGAAGGTAATAATTTTTCAGACCAATTGAATGTATTTTTATGACAAAAGTTGTTCATCGCAGCACACTTAAAATGTTGAGCACGAGATTTTTATTCTTGGTGATTTTCAACTGAACTTGTTTAAGAACATGATTTTCTTTCTCTCAGTTGATAAAAATGACGATTTGATATCTTTTGTTGAACCGTTTTCATCTGCTATAAGATAAATATTGGATTTGTTAAATATCTCCGTCAATGTTTTTGAGAAGAGTATGTATTTGTCTTAATACGTTTTTTTTTTCATTAAAAAGGTGTATTGTAATGAAAAAAACAGCATTATGCGGAGACTACTATGAGTTTTAAAAGTCGCGGGGTATTAGAGTGAGAGTTCTGATGCATTGCAGATCGATAATACATATCTAAAAACGAATAATTAGTACAAAAAAATTAATTATTTATTGTTCGTTTGCCCCCAGGCGCTTAAAATGTTAAAAATAGTCCAGGGCCTCCAATTTTTGAGCTACAGAGGTTTCTTTTTTAAAAGCTTGAATAAATATATACAATGACAATTACGAATTATTTTTTTGAAATTCGAATCCTACGCAGCTAATTTCGTTTTGTTTAATATAAAAATTTGCGCCATTCATGTAAAATAGGCAGAAAAATTATTCTTAAAATATTTAACATATATTCTTGATTCTTCTAGAAAATTTTTTCGGGCTATTTTATATGAATGGTGCAATGTTTTATTTAAAAAAAAACCGAAATTAACTGTGTAGGAGTTGAATTTCAAAAAACTAATTTTAATTTTGAAAAAAAAAATCTCTGTAGCTCAAAAATTGGAGGCCCTAGACTATTTTGAACATTTTAAGCATGTGCGGGGTAAACAAACAAAAAACAAATAATTTTTATGCACTAATTTTTAAACGGATGTAATCAATTTTCCATGTATGAGAAATCTCATTCCAATACCCCGCGACTTTTAAAACTCATAATAGTCTCCCCTTAACGAAAAAATAGCAATTGCTGCGAAGATCAAGCAAATAGGAATTTCATTGAATCGAGACCGTTCTATTGAGCCAATCATTTTTTAGCTATCGATAAATAAAAGGTGAGTCATTAAAATTAAATCAGCTGCATTTTCAGATCATTATCAGAATAATATTTCACGATTCAGTTTTTTTGTGGCTACAAAACAAAATATATTTATGGAAATACAAAGACTCAAAAATATTTAAGAGGGATCGATTCATGTCAACGACCGCCGTTGACGGAAAATTGTCCAATCTCATTTTAGAACTGCGTTCTAGGACGAAAGAGAAATGTTCAAATTTTTATTCCCTTCGCCTTTCCAAAGACCGTCCAACCTTTAGAAATTTGTAATGAAGATGGGAAATTTCATTTACCGATAAAAGAATGATTCCTGTAATTGTTGTCTGCTTTTCTTGGCAATGGGAAATAAAAAGGGAAAGTACTGTTTCCAAAGACTATTTGGAATAATTTAAAAAATCGATAATGAACAGAATGAAGATGTTCTCCATCGGGAATGTTCCTTATCACTCTCACCAACGAAAAAGTGAATGCAGAAAAAATATATAACACACAAAAGAGAAAGTTCTGGCCACTGAGAGAAAAGTAGAATTTTGAATAAATACCTTGCCCATGGTATGCTCATAGAGTCCTCATAAACAAAAGTTATATCCTTCCAGAAGCTCGGGTGGAACAGTGCCTGTCGCCAATTTTTACAAACCTGCGAGGACCCATTTTATTTTTAAACACATCGAAAACAATGACAAAAACAGAGAAAAGTGAAATGTAAATACACTTGACATTGAGAGGACATAAACAACGATTGTCCCCGCCCAAGAAAATTAAGGATTCCAGGGTAGAGCCCATAAAAATATATTGCTCTCTAATAAAATGGGAAAACCGTTGAACCCACCCATAAATTCTGAGCAATTCCCCTAAAGAAATGGAAAGTCATAAAAATATATTGAAAGAATTTTTCAAAATGTACTTACACCGGAGGCATTAACTCTGTCTTTGTGCTTGAGATAGGAAAATATTTCCAGCATAATAACACTGGGCAGAGTGTCCCAACAGCTCGTACCATCATGTGCCATATTTGACGTTTTGATTTACAGTTGAAACTCAACCGATGAATAGAAATAAGGCAAAAAACTCAGGTAAGAGTGAGAGAAAAAACCCAACAAACGTATGTTGGAATATCCGAGGTCGGTTCCACCTTCAGTCCAACGAACGCAATTTTCCTGTCACTCTAGTGACGATTACAACTGAATAAGCCAATAAAATGTGCAATTAATTTCAATCGATCAATCAATTCCAATAGTTTCTCATGGATGAACATATAAACGATACCATCTTGCGACACCACCAATCGAGACCAGAACAGAATAGAGCTAAGAAAAACGTGAGAACCAACGACAGATCCACAACTGCCCACAACCACGACTGACAAATGGCAACAGATTTTTTCAATCGTGGTAGAATAGCACAGAAGCGAAACGATGGTGGAGGGGGAAATCATGGGTATGGGTACAAAGAGGTGCAAGAGCGTGAGCGGAGTGATCTTGTTGATTTTTTTGAAAACATCTAGGAAAGGAGGGGGCCTGAAGGAAAATATCAATACAATTTTTTGTATGGACCTTAATGCTCTGCAAAAAAGGTCTTGGGATGAAGTTAGGTAAAGTTCTTGGTTTTGTAGATATTTAGGGAATAGGTGGATGATACGGCTTGGACTTGCTTCCCTTTAACAATACGGGAACAATTCATGAGTGTGAGGGCATAGTGGCGCCATCTGTGGCATCTGTCATCCCCCTAATCGGTAGGAAAGATTCCTATTTTAACCATTAGATTTGATGAGTAGTAAAACGGACGGATTATTTTTTGACTCCAACAGTCAGTGCTTTTCAATAGTGCCAATGAAACAATCCATTGGCGATACGGAATATGTCGTCACTTTCAGTCGATTGCGTGATTAAGGAACTTCCGCAGTAAGTATACTTAGTCAAAATTTCGAAATGGTATAAAGACGCAATATTTAGATCATATGTTGTTGAGCACCTTCAAAAACTATTCCCAAAATTTCAAGTAGGGTGAACTGCCCATATGCGGAACACTACCCAAGAACGGAACATTTCTCAGATTTTACGAGATTTCTCAAATTTCGGCCAAGCTATCGATTTGATTTTTTTTTCTAAATTAAGTTTATATCCCTCCTCATGACGTCATCACAAATCTGATCGGCTATCGATTACCTCCTGCTGAATATTGGAGAAAAATCCTGGCAGCAGCCAATTTGCGGCGATTGATAGTTACGCGTGCCATTTGACGGGTTTTTTTTGAAGCGATGTTTATTAGATTTTAAATCACAAAATGCGGTAAGTTGTGATTGATATTGATATAAAATCCTTCATTCTTCAATATTTCCATATCAATTTCATCAGAAAAATGCTATTGTATTGAATATATGGGGGTTCCGTCTTTAGGGTTAGTTTTCCACGCAATTCCAAACGAACGGAACACTCATACGGGTGGATACCTATGTCAAGTGGGAATACGGTGATACTGTGGAAAGTGTATTGGCGGTTAATGAACTAATAATTTAATGAAGTTAATCGGAATCGTATCCCTAAATTAGTTTATTTTCTTCATTTTTTCGCGTAGATGGCTTCAAAAGGTAAAAACACACGAAAAATACACGAAGAGGAGGGAGAACAATCAGCCAAGGCAGAAGAGGTTAGGAAACCCTCTCAACGGTTTAAATACACAAAAAAAATCTAGAAGAAGCGATTGAGGCTGTGAAATCGGGGAACAGCTCTCTAAATAATGCATCAATTAATTATGGTATCCCCAAAACTACATTGCATTCACGAGTCAACGACTAAGTATCTGGATACTCTCATGGTCGTCAGTCTGTATTGACAGTTGGGGAAATCCACCGAAAAGATATAAATTTCGGGAGGAATTGAACAAAATTGTATATTTTCTGATTAATATCCTCCTCGATATGACTTCGCATCAGGAATTAATCTCTCAACGTCACACTAACCTCCAATGTTCCGTAAATGGGCAGACGATGTTCCACTCTTGGCAAAAGTGTTCCGTCCTTGGTATATTCGATGTGCGTGTACTTATTAATTATTTCCAATTATTTCCCATCAAGTAATAGGTTCCTCNTTTAATCTTTAATCTTTCATACAAACTATATTCTCAGGTGTAGATAGCTACGAGGGTTCAATTTAAGAATGTCNGTTAATCGGAATCGTATCCCTAAATTAGTTTATTTTCTTCATTTTTTCGCGTAGATAGCTTCAAAAGGTAAAAACACGAAAAATTGGAAACGCTAAATATCAAAACGCCACCTATGAATGGCGGATATTGGGCTGCACACAGCAGTATGCAACCCAATTTGGGCTTGTGTTAGCGTGTATATGGGAAGCCTAAAATCGTCCATATTGGTGAAAACGAGCGCCGCCATCGGTAATTAGCGGTCCCAATACACGAAGAGGAGGGAGAACAATCAGCCAAGGCAGAAGAGGTTAGGAAACCCTCTCAACGGTTTAAATATACAAAAAAAATCTAGAAAAAGCGATTGAGGCTGTGAAATCGGGGAACAGCTCTCTAAATAATGCATCAATTAATTATGGTATCCCCAAAACTACATTGCATTCACGAGTCAACGACTAAGTATCTGGATACTCTCATGGTCGTCAGTCTGTATTGACAGTTGGGGAAATCCACCGAAAAGATATAAATTTCGGGAGGAATTGAACAAAATTGTATATTTTCTGGTTAATATTCTCCTCGATATGACTTCGCATCAGGAATTAATCTCTCAACGTCACACTAACCTCCAATGTTCCGTAAATGGGCAGACGATGTTCCACTCTTGGCAAAAGTGTTCCGTCCTTGGTATATTCGATGTGCGTGTACTTATTAATTATTTCCAATTATTTCCCATCAAGTAATAGGTTCCTCCATTTTTTCTCAGAAAATAGACTAAATTTGGAATTAGGCAGTATTTTTCTTAAATTTTTCAAGAGAAAATTTCAATATTTCATGACTGTAAACTTCTGAAAGGTCTTAAATGTTCCGTAAATGGGCAGTTCACCCTACCTTGTCCACCCCATTTTCGAGATATACATCGTCAAAAATGGAAAAAACACAAAAATTGAATGTTTGGCGATGCATATCTCAAAAATGGGGTGGACCAGAGACTTGAAATTTTGGGAATATCTTTTTAATGTGGTCAACAACATATGATCCAAATATTGCGTCTTTATACCATTTCGAAATTTTAACCAAGTATACTTACTGCGGAAGTACCTTAAACTGTATCCTTCAATAGTTGAATGAATCTACGCTCTTTAAGGAAGCCACTCGTGAAATGAAGAATTATAACGTTAAAACAATGAAATTATTCTATTTTGATATGAAAGAACATGCATCCAATAACACATATATTCCATAGAAACTACGATATTTTTCACTCAGTGTGATTAAACTGTACCCTTCAATAGTTGTTTCTGAGGGCTTCAAACAGGCGACTTATATGATTCGATCTAATGAGGCCTTCAATCGATCATATATTCCTTCGTACTACCTGAATATTTCATTGAACTTTAATAGTTATCTGAATGCATCACATTCTGTCGATCTGAAACCTTATTGTAGGCTATACCAACAGAATCGTATTCAATAACATTTTCAATCAAATAATATCTCATTTTCAAAGAAATATTTCGTTGTCTACACTCTCTAAGGAATCCGACGAGAGCGCATCTTTCCTACAAGAGTACACTTTCGTTTCCAAGGGAACTTTTTATGTACGCATTTTTCCCTATCCCTCGCCTTGACCAATTGAATTTAAGGAAATATTGAACTAATGAAATTTTGGAAATCCCTTCCCATCCTCGTTGGTCAGGGGCAAATGGTTTCGTTCGAAAAAGTCTGAAGGAGTTTCGCCTGTGGGGCATTCCATACTATTTCAATTGGAATCTCTGGAATCAGAAGAAACCTGATGAGCATAAGCAGAAAGCTCTGATTGTTCTCTCCGATAGATATTTGCGCGCTTTCATCAGGGTTGCCAGATACTTGGGGAGCCGAACCGCCAATACGCTGGTATAGCCCAAAAATAGCCCCCTCCAACATTTTCCCCGCCAATTCCCGCCTACTTCAAACAGGAAAATTGGAAAAACTTATTATATGCGAAAAATCCAGTATAATATAAATAAAAAAAATTATAGCATATTAAACTCTTTAATCTTTAATCTTTCATACAAACTATATTCTCAGGTGTAGATAGCTACGAGGGTTCAATTTAAGAATGTCTTACACCCTTTTCGACAAAATTCACGCTTTTTGAATTTTTCTGGCAAATTGTTCATGGGACACTTAATGACTCACGAAACTTCATGATTGTACAATCATTTTCCTGCGTTTTTTCTAAAACTTTTCGGAAATTCACAACCTTTAGAAAAAAATGCAGGGAAATGATTGCACTACCATGAAATTTCGTGAGTCAATCAATAATGATAAAACGCTAAAACGGTATATTATTTCGCGTCAATCCGATCAATAATTTTCCAGAAAAATGAAAAACGTGAATTTTGGCCGAAAGGGTGTAGTGCATCCGTAACGAGGGCCACGTGTATCAAGGAGTTCAATTATACGAACATCAATTATAGTACAAGGATCAACCGTGTCAATATTATGTGCTGGAACGAATAATTGTAGTTAGGCCCGGTTGCACCGAGCCCTGCCAGCTATTTTTACCCCAAGATAAATTTATCCATGTGTAATCCTTATGGACTAACAGACCGTTATCTGGCGGTTTAGTTAACAGACAATGGTGCAACCAGGCCAAATTGTTAAGCTTTATTGAATTTTTCACATTATCATTTGCGGCCCTGGAAAATTAAAAATTTGGCGATGCCCCATTGGTAAACCATTTGGTAACCCTCGTGACGTTTGACTCTCGTGAAATTTGACTATCCCTTTGTGACCCTCGTGATGGTTGACTATCGTGAAATTTGACTATCCCCGTGTGACTTTTTTGTTGTTTGACTCTCGTGAAATTTAACCATTCCCTTGTGACCCTCGTGACCTACAATTCCGAGTGGAATTTTTTCGTTATATTTCAAAAAATCATGCCGCCATAGTCTACTTGGCGGGTTATAGCCCGGAGAAAAAATTTGCCCGCCAAAATGCATCCCAAATAGTCCATTTAGCTTTAAATAGCCCCATCTGGCAACCCTGGTGGATGCAATCGCCGCTCAGTGGCGCCAGTTGGAAACAAAAATTCTAAGGTATGATACAGGGAGGTATGGTGAAGCTTTGATGTCGCCGACACCGAAACAGGGGACAAGTTCCAACGGAAGCCGCGCGCGGCGCTGTTGCGTCCCTTCCCCTCACGCGGATTAGATCTCCCACCACACGCCGATTTTACTTGCGTCGCGAGTTCAAATCCCCGTCAAATCAATTTTTTTTTTTTTCATGAGAGAGAAATAGTATATTTCGTAACGAGTGCAAAAAAGTGGTTTTTGGCGAGTGGGAGGTTTATAACACGGGCCGAAGGTGAGTGATATAATTTCACGAGCCAAAAACCACTTTTTTCACGAGTTATGAACAAAATTTTTCATCACAATGTGTCGGAAAGTTACTTCTCCGATACAGCGTGATGAAAATAAAATTTTGTGTTCAATCGAGAGGAACAGGATTAAAAAATGTTGAGATGAAAACTATATGATTCTCAGCAAATAGTTCTATGGGATCGAGCGATAAAGATTGACTGAGAGTCATGTCGACTAGACGATTGAAATACTAATTAGAAGGAAGAATAATTAACATCAGAAGTCCATTTAATTAATTATTCCTCTTCTCTTCAGTGAAGCTTAATAGGGAAGAATTTGGAGGGATGGGATTACGATAATGAGGATCCCAGTTTGAACTATGTTTTTTAATGTTTTCTTCTATGAACAAGTTTTGAAAAAGATACGAGGGTCATAATGGTCACGAGGGGTGAAATAAATGAGGTACAAGGGGTTTCAAGAGCCACAAAAGAAAAAAAAAGTCCCAACTATTCACTTACGCACCTCACACAAATAACAATCGTTCTTTGACACTTGATCACTCGATAGCAAATCACCGCTTTTTTCCAGCCATTGTCGTCGCTTCTCAATTTTTTTCACACTGGGAAGGGAGAAAAAACGATAATTATCCCTAGAAGATGCTTTGCAATTTATAATTGCACACGATTTAATCATTTTACATGAATCAACTCGCACAGACTGTTCAGATCTATTGGAGTACGTTTTGGAGCAAGCATAAACAAACAACATTCGCGAGATATTTTCGCGCGAAAAATAAATATTGTTCAACATTGGACAAAAATGCATTTTCATTTTATTTTTAATGCTATTATATTGAGCAGTGATTTCACTCTCAATCTTGGTAATTATTTTCAGTAAAAAAAGAAAGAATTCACCTATTATAAGATAAAAATCACCCCATTAATGAAAGAGTGAGCGGGCCATTGACTATTAAAGAAATAGTACATGAAAAACCAAGAATATATTTGCATTTTTTTATTTTTCTTCGCATTGTACATGTAATTTCATACGGGGCTAATTATTTTGACTTAAAATATCAATTTCATAACGTTCCCTCCAGCAAAAAAAGTGCCAGTGGTGGGAGACTAAAGGAGATGAGGGGAAGCGTAAGTCGACCGGAACGCCGCTTCTGGCGCTCCGGCGAACTTGTCCCCTGTTTTCTGGCTTCATCATACCTGCTTGTATCATACCTTAAAAAATTCCACAGATACAAATTTCACGTAGTTCCTCCCAAGCACCCGCACATTTCACACTTTGCACGGCTGACTCTTCACAAAGTACTTCTTGCCAAAGAAGTAACCTCAACCGTATACCCCCACTCTACCCAAATTCCCACCTATGCTAGTGCTCCTCACCACTGAAATCGAGGTTACTTCTTTGGTAAAATTTAGTATATCTCTCGCCATCTATATTATATTTTTAAAAAGCCATGCAACCATGCAGCCCGGCATATAGCCCACTTGGCGGGTTATAGCCCGGAGCAAAAATTTGCCCGCCAAAATGCATCCTAAATAGCCCAATTGGCGGGAAATAGCCCAATCTGGCAACCCTGGCTTTCATTCATTTTCGGTATGCTGAGCCGATATTATAGGTCGTTACGTTATCCCGAACGTATTGTACTGTACTGTACTGTTCTGCGGGCGCTCTACATGGACATCACTGTAATGTTACGGTGGCACGCGGTAAGGCGAGTGTAACACCAACGTAACTGATTTTGGCTACTGGAAAATAGGAGTAGCATGGGAAACCACAGGAAACCCATGCTCGGAAATCGCAATTTGTGGACTCGTCTCCTCTCCTAGTAGTCCCCTCGGTCGATAAAAAAAGCTCCTCCATTATCATCTGGGTCGCACATATGGTTGTTTTCTGTGTACGTGTTAAAAAATATCAGTTTACCTTTAGGAGTTCACACAAGTTTATCTCATGCTTGCACGTTCAAGTCCTCAGCAGTAAATTTGCTTACCAGTAGTGGTGGAATGTTTCCGAGAATTAGGGTATTAACGCTTAATCCATCGAATGAAGGTGTTTTGACCCCTGTGAAATTATCTCGTATGAGAAAAATTGATAAATGATGAGAATGGGACATCATAGGGGTTGCAGTAATGCAACGTTTATTTTTGTTACACTGGCATTTTTGGTAACAACGAGAACTTCAGTCTGTAATGACGTTGTTGAGGGTGTTGATGCCGGTAAGACGAGTGCAAATGCGATCGTGAATAACCAGACGAAATCGAACAATGGAACTACCGACGATCAGAAGAATACTCCAACACATAAAATTGGCGAAGTAGGAAAGGGGAAGATAACGAATATCAATGATAAGGAAAATGGAAAAGGAGATGACATTCACAGTGGACAACAGAAAGCCGGAGAAGAGAGTAATATTAAGATGGATCCAACTGTGGTAATGACTATTTCCAAATGAAGATTATTAGCCAAATAATTTCGGAGTGAAGTGCTAGAATGTAACGATTCGATTTTTACTTCGTGGCATATATAAAATCACTTCAGGAAAGTGAAATTCTGCTCAATATTCCTCAACATTTGTGGTGGAAATAACTTATCTCAGATTCAATTAAACAGTTATCAAAATCTCAAATTTTTCCAATTCACCACGTCAGTCCAATATTGAAAGAGTGAAATTAAATTTAAGAGCATAAAGATCTCCATTGTCTTCATCCTTGACACAATATTCTATGGGCAAAATGACCTTTTACACACAATGGAATTGCTTCATTTTTTGACAGATTTGGTGTGTTGCATTAAGACCTTGTCTACAGTGAATTCTCACATACTAATTATACCATGTGCATATTGAGTTCTACTAAATTAAAAAACAGCAACCCAATTTAGATACACATTGTGTAATCTAAATTCCACATAGTATAATTCTGTAGTGAAGTGGTAAACTAGGATAAGTGTAATTTTTTTGGAAAATTTTCTATTGCTTGAGTCGAAAGTTCTCTCATAAGTGGTAAAATTTTTTAAGTCTTCTGAAAAAGTTCCATTTTTGCACTGATCCTAGTTTACCACTTCGCTACAGAATTCAATTGCAAATGGTTCAATTTGCTGTGTGCATTTCAATAGGTATAGTCTGAGAAAAACAAAATCCACCAATGCGGCCCCTTGGTTTTCCGGATTTTGCGTTTTTCTTGAATTATTGAATTGCGCACAATGAATTGAACATTTACAATTTCGGGATTGGTAGACTACACTTTAGGAAAATTTAATATGTATATCGTGGTTTCTCTAAACCAGATCTTGGGGATAGCCAAGTAGTTCGAATAGTCCAGTCAACGCGGCAAAAAAATTGAAATATCTACTAAAGGTTGCCCAAATGTGGTATTCGTCTCATTTCAGTGATTAAATAATACCACTTTTTTACTTTTTCCTTTATTGCTAAAGGAAGTATGCATGTATGCATATATTGACTTTGAAATAGCCTTATTTTATTAAGAGAGGTCGATATGATCTTGATATGGATGACCAGGTAGATGTTCGGGACCACCCATTTTCACCACCTTCCTTATAAAGACAATTAATTTTCAATTAATTTAAATATGATTTTTTCCTTTTTTTTTAATTCTCGAGCATGGTATGACTTCAAGTTTTGACTCTCACCAGCTCTTAGCATTATCTAGGATGTACGATGGGGACGTTACTGGTATAGGATCCCAAAAAATAAAATTTAACAAATTTGAAATTTAAAGAACCTCATTTATTAATTTATTAACACAAGTTTTAGTAGGTATCTCATTCTTTTACCCCGGTGACTGGACTAGAACTATTTTTTCTGTGGGACATTCATAGACGAATTATACTAGAAAATCCGATACAAAGTTTTTGGAATACATGAATCATGAGGAATGCACGTACAGTGTTGCCATATGATCATTAGAGGTCAAACCAACGAGAGTCAAGTATGAAATTGAATAAAATACTGTTCACAGTATTCATTGAAGTAATACTCAAAGAAACATATTCAACAATGAAAAATGCAATCAGGTATGGGAATGGTAAGATTTTGGGCAAACCCAAAATTTTGCTTCAAAAGAAATTGCTAACTTAAACGAAATGCTTGGATATGCTTAATGCAAAACAGCAAATGTGTCGAAAAATGGAGGATCTCCTTTGCGTAATAAATCAATTTGTCGAGAAAATGCTATGTTGGCACTAAAGGATACATTTTTATTTGTTTCAGTTCTATAGTCTTCGAGTTTATTGACTTTGTAATATTCTTTTTTGAAAATAAATGTTGAAACGACACGGCGAGCAGATGAGTTTAAAATGACATTGAGGAATGTTTTGCAATTATCTTCGGAAGGAATTGTTAGAACTAAAAAAAATTATTTGCTGTCGATATCTTCATTTTCAGGATGTTTACAAGGAAAGTACTCCTATTTCACTACGCTATTATGTTTGGTTTCCTTTGTAGATCCCATTGGCCCACATACCATCGTTGAACCCAGGAGCTTTGAAACGAGCTTTCTACGTTTTCGCTGGCCTCAGTGTCATCGTCCTAGCGTATTTGATGATCCGGAGTTTTGGGTTAGTTTTCTCTTTCGGATAATTGAAAAATCTCTACAATGTTTCACAGATAGAGATGGAATTAAGAACTTTGGCAATTAATGTTGTTGATTGAACCATTCTGTATTGATGTTTATCTTTCATCGAATGATCATCGAACAGATGGGATTTACAAATATTTGGCAGTTATTATTTTGATCATCAAATTCTCCTGCAGGGATGGCCATCAATCTTCCGATTTTTCAATATTAAAAGAATTTCTGACTTACATCGATCAAGGTTTAAATATACTAATCTGAATTTAAAAATCGTGAAATAATTGATAAAAATCAAATAATTGTAAATAATTGATTGATCTAAATTTCCAATTGATAATGGATTCAATATTTAAACATATGGAATCAAAACTTTTCTATTAAGTAGCAGGGATCCTCATCAATATTAAATTTCTGTAATATTATACAAATTTGACCCTTACATTATTGAAGGTTTAAAATATGTTGATTCAATTTTTACAATAATATAATATTAATAATCTGATTTTTACGAATAATGCAATATTAAAAATTTATTAATATGCAACTGTAAATTTACTACTAAGTGAATAATTCAAATTTTAGAAAGGGGAATTTTCGATTACACAAGTAATCGTCAATCTTCTATCTTAAATTGTAGATTGTCCAAGTAATCGTCAATCGTCCTACCTTAAATTATTGATTGATAAAATAGTTAAAATTTGAATATTTGAATTGATGATATTTAATTACTCAAAAATTACAAGGTTGATTTTTTTTCAATTTAAGGGCTCAAAAGTAATTGTAATAAATTATTACAAATATGGCTATCCCCGTTAAGTAGATAATACTAAATTTCTTATAAGGGATTTCGGATTGTCCAAATAATCGTCCATCTTCTTAACTACTAATTAATGAATAATTCGAAATTTGACTATTTAAATTGATGATTATTTCAGTAATTAAAAGAGTGGTAAACCAATTGACTACTTAATAATTTAACAGTAATTACAATCTATGGATATGGCTATCCCTGTTCTCTTAGGTTTGAAGGAGACGTTAACATATCAACATGTTCCTCAACTTTGCAATGAAAAAAAATATTTATAATTTTTTTTTTCGATCCTTAGATTCAAGAAAAATCCAGCACAAATGGTACGTAAATATGGAGTTCTTGCGCACAAACAAGACATTGAAATGCGCCCACTGCCACTGGATGAGGACGACGAAGACGACACGACAGTCTTCGACATCAGTGGTCTGTCGCCTCAGAGAACTCAGCATTCAGCGCCGTAAAAATGGAAGAAAATAATTGGGCAGTGAAGTTGTAAAACGTAACAAGTCAATCTTTCACATTTCCTTGGAGCAGATATAAAAAAATCCCGGAAGACATGTTACGTTGAAGATTTTTCAGCTGCAAAAAATTTCTTTTGAATTTTTCTTCTAAATTCAATTGTTACCGAGATGGTTGCGCACTCGAATAATGGAATAAAAAAATGTGTTCTCACCATGTTACAGCAGAACGATTGTCTTAAGAAGAAAATATCAAAAGTCATTTCTTTTAAAGGGGTACCGTACTGAAATTTGAAAGTCTTCGGTTGATGAAAATAGGTCTCAAGCCACTTTTGATATATCATTGGGTACCTAAAAAAGTGAGAACAATTCCGGACTCAACCCGTTTTACCTCGTACGTCAGGCGAAAACTTTGCTGTTTATGTTTTTGGTTTTAAAATGCCCCTCGCACCGCAATTTTCATCCGATTCGAACTTTTGTATTCAAAATTATACGGTATGTAAAGACGAAAAAGAAATGAGTAAAAAATTAATTTTGAATGAAATTCATGTTACTATGATCTAATCAAGATAATTGAAAAAAAAACTTTTATTCTACTGAATTTAACTTAAATTTTGAAAAAAAAAGTTTAAATCGGATGAAAATTGTGATGCGAGGAGCATTTTAAAGTCAAAAACACGAAAAACCTCCTTTTTGCTTGACGTACGGAGTAAAATGGATTCGATAACTACTTTCATCAACTGCACTTTCAGTATGGTACCCCCATAAGGGAATTTTTTTCAGTAACAAAAAGTATTTCGTAACTCCACTACATGAATAACTCAACCAAAAACAAATGGAAAGTGAAATTGAAACAATCAGTGGTACCAAGAGACTTTTTATCCATTTCGTGAAGCTTCAATTTTTTCATTGCATCTTCTCAAGCCTTAAATGTGATATTAAGAAAGAAAAAAAAAGTATAATTAACTGAATCTAAGCCCAATGATTTTCATTGGTGCATTTACTATTTACGTGTATGATATTTCCAACGAAAAAAAACTGTCTTTGTTGTACGCTTATTGAATATAAATCGTTTATATTTCAACGAATTCATTTTATAAATTTGAAAAATTTTATTATACATTTTCATGGCTTATGGATAATACTGTTACGATAAAAAATTTAGCGTTGATCACAGGAAACCGCGGTCTATTGCATCCACAATTGCGTCGGCAAGACGTCGGCGTTTGGCTGCTTCTTTTATAGGTTTCAATGTCCACACATCTGCTATGTTGACTGCTTTATCACCTTTGATTACGTCTAGGTCAAATGCTTCCGTGTCATCCAACATACTGAGTGGAATGGATTCTAAGCAAAAACCTAGACCATGGACGAATTGTTCTTTCACCTGATAATCAAAAACAATGAGCTTTTAAAATTATTTTTCTCTCTTCAGGAGTACATTAGCTGTAGAAAATATCCTCCGAAGAATTTTTTTACTCCACTGAGAGAAAAATTTCCCAATATGTAGACCATATTTACTGGAGAGATATCAATTATTCTGAATGGTTTAAATCTCAGAATGTGTGCACTTCACGGAATCCAATTAAATTCTCATTTATCACTATCGTTCCGCGTTACATGAATATATTACATATCGAAATATTGGAAGTGCATAATACAAAAATCATGAAAACAATAAATACTTGAAGATTGACGATTCTTCTACGCGATTTGAGTGAGTTCATTTAGGACAAAATCATACTTGAGTACAAGAATATTTTAAAGCATGAGACTCGGGCCACGTAATTTGAGATGCCTGGAAGAATTAACTAATTGAAGAAAAATTACTTGTCTCAAGAAAATACGTTTTAGATACTAGAAATTTTTTTCTCAGTGCTTCTGAAATTGATTAGACTGAAAAATTTCCTCGACTTCAGGATGTTGTTGAATTAAAAATTCTACTTGTCGAAGAATATTTCAATCGTCAGCAAATTATTAGGGTATGCATTGGATTTTCATCAAGTTTTGAGTTTTTGAAAATGTATTCGATTGATGAAAAATTCTATTTTTTAATACTTTAATACCAACACAGAATTTTTCTGCCTAAATGATCTGTTACATACAATAGAGTTCCTCAATTCTTTTTGCACATTTCATGTTTTCCATCAAGATCTTCACGACAGGAATTGCAATTTTTATATTCGATTTACACAATATACATGTTGGATTCTTCCAAGGTGACATATAAAATTTCAATGTTTTGTGTGCCATTTAACGGGTATAATTATATTTTGAGTATGCTGGGAATTCAAGAACAAAATCCATCAATCCAAGCCTGAAGTTTAGGGACTTTCTACTTTTTCTAATTGTACATGCTTGAATTATACATGTTGAACTGCACACAACAAATTAAATATTCACAATCCACCTTGCACAATACGTAATTGGGATGGTTGATTACAATTAGTAGAATTTAAGAATAATAAAGTCTATCAATTCTTGCCTAAGTTTTACCGATTTAGTGTTGTTTCTTTAATGGCAAATCCTTGAATTGTAGATTATTGAATTTATACAGCACAATGTGCAATCGGGATGGTACATCACATTTTTATAGAATTGATTATGTATATATGGCAATGAGAACGAGAGAATTATAATTCCTTTAGACAAAATCTTAATGCTAAATATTACACATTACATGTGTTAAAAAATGACGGGACTTCATTGTGTATAAAGCAGGTCATTTGACAATAAAATGCAATGTCGGTGTTAAAGTATGCCCTATTTTTAACTATTTTGACCTCGGTCGGAGTCCATGGAATTAGAAATTTTAGGTGTAGAATTGTTGTCTCGTAAAGTTCATTGTATTCAATATTTGAATCTTCCCTCGATTATTTCCTGTTTAGGGAATGTTTCAAGTTTGAAGTTGAGACTAGAAAAATTCTGTTCAAGAAATTAGTATAACTTGATAAGTTGATTAGAACACTGTGAATTGGGCAATTATCTCAAGAACGATTAATTTAACAACAAAGTGGCAGAAACCCACTGCTGTATTTAATTTCAAATCGAATGAAATGGAACAGTTCGACTTATGATATTCAGTTACTCTAATGGGGAATTTGTAAATTCATTTCATTAAATCTGCATAAATTTAATCATTACCTCCTTAAGAAATGACTCCCAAGGATAAACTTTGTCAGCATTAGACCCAAGTACGGAAATAGTCTTAGATATCTCTTCATGATAGAATTGCATTAGGAAATTAAAGTTTTTATCTCGCATTTTCTGATCCGTGCAAGTGTATATGAAGAATGACAAATCAGTGATGGGGCTGGCACATCTGGCAAGTTGGAAATCGAGAAGGAGTGTCTCGTTTTCTCCATTGGGAGTTACGCGTATCAAGAAATTTGGAGCCCAAGCGTCGCCCTGGTTCACCACTGAGGTGGGAGTCTTGGAACGAGAACATAATTCCACACTTTTCTTCCATAATTCCTTTCCATCTAAATCACAGAATTTCTTTTGTTGATGTGTGCCCGGATACTCTACGGATATTGCGTCTTTTGCGATAGTCACGATAAGTCCCTTGAAATTGAAAAAATAATTTTAGACGATCAGTTTGTTCGCTTTTGGTGAATAGGAATCTTTTGAAAATTTTCATGACTTATTTATATGACTTCGACACTTTCATAATGAAGTTTCATCTCTGAGACTAGGAGATTTCAAAGACATTTCGAAGATATTTTGAAAATAATCAATATGATGTTCAACTCGAGAAAAGTCTGACAAATCGAGTGTTTTAAATTTAGAATGCTAAATTTTTCATTGAAGGGAGACTACTATCAGTTTCAAGATCGCGGATTATTGGAGTGAGATTTATCATGCATTGAAAATCGATTATTATGAGGTATACCATGTCAAATGGGTTAACGCCTGACCCTTTTGGAAATTTATCTCTTTGATTAGCAATCAAAGTCAATCAACGCCTTTTTGGGGTGTTTTGACCAAATTTGCGGAATTTTGAGAAGAAAAAAATAAAAATTGAATAGATCCAGGACGAAACCCAACTTGTATGACCGCTCAAAATACTTGTGACTATAAGAGTTACTGAAAAAAAGATAAAAAAAATAAAAGATGGTGTAATTTTAAAAATTCAAGTTTTTCAATTTTTCGGTACTATGAAAATTCGGTATTATTTCGGACCAATTGGTGAAATTGAGTGATGCTGTTGAGGAAAAGAGACCTTTTACTGATAGTGGTACGAGACAAGTAATTTTGCTGCAGGACAACGCGCAGCCCCACACAGCAAAAGAAACCCTGAAAGTTATCTCCACGTTGGGCTGGAAAATTTCGAACCTTTTTCGGAAGCTACAACATCACCTGATGGTTACTCAGTTCCAATCTCCTGAAGAAGTCCGGCATTGATGACTTCATCCAGTCAAAACCACCATCTTTTTTTCGAGCCGGAATCCGACAACTGCCTGATAGATGGGAGAAATGCGTGCAAAGTGAGGGCGATTATTTTCAAGATTAGATCTGTATTAATTTTTTTATAAATAAATGCCAAAATTGTCGAAGAAAGCCTGAGAATTAAGTCATACACCCAATAAATCTCACCCCAATAGCCTGCGAATTCTAAAACTCATAGTAGTCTCTCAATCAAGAATAATGATTCGTTGAATTTCGTAATTCTTCATTTCAGCATTAATATGTGCAAAAGATCCATCGCTTTGTGATTTCGATTATTATGAATAACCCAAGTCTGATTAATTATTGACCATTGATCAGTTGATAACGCCCCAACTCAAAACATCACAATTACCTGAAATCTCTCGTACCAATCCTTCCACTTTTCACTAAAATAAGTTTCCTCCAGCTGGTCGGCGATCTTGTGAAACTCTTTTTCGTATTGATCTTTGTGAGCGAATGAGACTCCATGGAATCTTGCCATCGCTTTCAAAATAATTTGACATTCTTCTAAACTCAATGTACTCTGACGCGATGCTGGACCGAATCCGTAAACACTGACATCCTCCAAAACGATGAAGTCATTTTCACCGTCTAAAACGTAAGCTAAACAATCCGGCACAAGGAGTAGATGCTGTTGTTTTTTTGACGCAAGGAACTTTTTGAACTCTGGGACGATCTGAAAAAGATATAAATAGTGAATATAGTAAGACTATACCCAGAGAAATAATGCATCTGATTCAAATGAAACTCTATTCGAAATTACTTTAATCATTTCAATGAAAATGTTTTAATTGCAGGGGAAGGTACGTGTTGCAAAGTGGACCTTCGTCATTCACTCGACATAGGGAACTTGCATGATTTTTTTTTTATTTCTCAATCTGAAGTTTCAGCTTTACATGATCAATTTTTCAATTATAAACATTAGAAACATTGCTCGCTAATTGATAGTTACTTGTTAATGACCTCACAAGGGTGGTCGAACGCTGGATTAATCACAGAATGCCTCGACTCATCCTGATTCAATCATTATGTGCATTTTATTCAATGGATGGGGGCAACTCCCTTCTTTTCTCACATTCGCATCCGCAGAAAAATCCTGTAATTTAGGTAATAAATGTAAAAAACCAGCCGACGTTACCTTTTAACGTAAACCGTGAAGCTTCGCGAAGATTATACCTCGCGAGGATAATAAATCACGAGGTTCATACGTCGCCAGGATCATACGTCTCGAGGGTCACACCGCGTAAGGGTCATACCGTGTAAGGGATGAATTTTACCAGGGTCAATCTCATTATTTATTGATCTCTATTGAATTCGTCGCGTCATCATTTTTTGTCTTGACGACAGAAGCTGTTTGGAAAATTTTTGAGCGTCCACTTTACTCGTTCCTATACGGATTTATCAGGTGTCCATATTGGCCATTGAAACAATTTCCAAAATTCTGGATAAAAAAAAAAAATTCGCAAATTTTTTGAGTGTCCATTTTGCCCGAGATGTCCATATTGCTTCACTCTCCCCTATTTTATTCGCCCAACTCTGATTGGGATCATTCAATTCGGAAATGATCATCGAATTAATAGTGCTTCTAAATGCAACATCGTTCGTATTATTATTTTTCTGCATCATTAAGTCGGAATGATCTCGAGAAAGGAAAGTAAAAGTATCCTGTCGCAGAAAATTTTTTGATCTCGTGAAATCTTTGGCTTCCGGATGGATGCCGCGTTTGGATTCAGCGTTGCGCCGACGTTTCGCAAACATTGCAGTCTGCATCTTCAGGGCTATGAGCTCCGATTCTGAGCTCCGATGTCTAGGGGTAGTCCTTATATGTGCCTTCCCTTGTGGTGGTGGGGGAAGGGGAAGGGGGGGGG